GTACGTACTTTGTGGTGCTCGTACTTTGACGTTTCTATTTCCATGAACTTTTAGGGAGTACGAATTACCCTACCGTACCGTACGTACCGTATCGTACAGTAAATTCGAAAGGGGGGGAAGTCGAAAACTTTTTTTGAGGAGAAATAATTGATGGAGGGCAGAGTCCTCACAGGCACACCTTTTTCTTGTCTTTTCGGAAGTGCACTTCCGGCTGGCGGCCGCTCCGCTCCGGCGGCATCAAACATCATAACGTACTACTATTTGGTACGCTACTTGAACTTCTCGTACGGTACTAATTCTCACGGGTCACTCGTTGCATTATTACACGTCGTCCGAAAATTCAAAAAAATTCATGCCCACCATTCATAGAGTGYTMCCGTCCTACGATTTACCTACCGTGACTACGTGGTCATTGCAGTCGTAATCACGACTGCATGGTCGTTGTTTGCACGTTTTCGCCTTTCACACCAATCAGAAAGAAAAATTCCGACCATTTTGGCATCGGAAGCCCCTTTCGAACATAATTGGTACTTTGTACCTAGTACGATACGCATAGAGATAGTTCGACAGAAAACCATTCTTGTAGTAGTATTCTCTACTTCCACACAAAAATTCCAGCTCTGAACATTCGTGTCCTTGCACAATACAAACAAARAACACAACGATTGAAAATGAAGTCATACAACCAGCCACTCGTTCCTTCCCTCTACTTCGAAAATCAGCGCAGCAGTTCTGAATCGATCGAAAACGCCARCAACTCAAAATTTTCTTCGCCAGAACTTCCGTCCGAACTTCTCTCGCTCTGTTTGACAGCATATGCCAACTGGGGTGACCTCGCTAAGCTGTCATGCGTTCAAAAATCTTGGTCTAATATTATTATGGACACTGCGAACCARTCKCTTTCGTCTCGATGGGAATTGGCCATCGCTCTTTTCGAAGGCGAATGCGGCCTCGTCAAATCCTCAGAACGCGCCGTTGGAATCTTGAAGGARCTAGCAAATATTACTATTGACCGAACCACTGGCAAACCATCCATTCCTGAAGAGAACGAGGAGGGTTTGTACGAGACAAATAGCRAAGATTCTAAGTACCAAACTTTCGCCATGAAGAAAATTGCTAAATGCTATTTGGAAGGGGAAGGCGTTCCACAAGACACGAACGTTGCCGTAGCTTGGATGAAGGCAGCATTTCTGGTGGGAAAAGACTGCGACGCGGCTCACGATTTGGCCGTAATGTTTGAATATGGTCATCACGGAATTGAAATTGATGTGGTCGCTGCAGCGGAGTGGTTCGAACGAGGAGCCACAGGGGGCAACATCGAGTCTATGGTCGAGTTGGGCCTTTGTTACGAACTGGGCTGCGGTGTAGAACAATCCGATGAACTAGCGCTSGAGTGGTATACTGCGGCGGCACATTTGGGAAATCCTACCGCAAAATACTCCGTTGGAGAGATATTTGAGGAAGCCCGTGGTGTCCCTCAATCAGACGAGGAAGCTTGTCTTTGGTATTATCGGGCTGCACTGGTTGGGTGCGACGATAGTAAGCTTGCSCTCCGACGCCTCTACGATATTGCACGCATCGTAGTACCTGGTGTCACTGCCATTCTATCTGATTAAAGCGTAGGGAATACGCAGATAAAGAAATAAACATAATGTTGTAAAATAATTAAAGTAGTACACTAGTTTAAAACAACTCCTATTTTTTTGAAACAATTCCCACGSCGTGTTTGTTACAGATAACAACGTATTCTGAAAATGTTTGCACTTTGGTTAAAAAGTCAATGTTTGTAACTCTGATGATGCTTTAAAAAAAAACTTTCACAAACTATAACTGAGAAAGAACTATTTAGTCATCARAAATTTGCTTCTTTTCGAAGACAAATTGACGATAGTTGTTACCAGTACCCAGGAGCAAAGAGCAACAGTTAGACTATTGGTAATAATATAAGGTCTAAAATATACATTAGCAAAGTAGGGTTTTAGCTCTTCCTTTTCCCGAATATCYAATTGTCTGCATTGAACATGATGGAAATGAAAACATGTAGCAGCTGCATACAAAACTCGCCTTGATTATTGTAAGAAAACGCTCGTAAAATACTGTACAAACCACAGAATGATCGAATTCATCGGTGCCATAAATCGAGCCTTCTAGTCCCCCTGGCTTCTACCTACGCAACGACTCCCATGGGTGCTTTCAAATTTGAAAAAGAAGCGGAAGCATTACTGGTGATAGCAGTTTCATCAAATTCTTTGCCTTCCGAAACAAATTCGAAGACAAAGTATTCAACGCTTACTGTTTCATTGATTGGTGTCCTCTGTTCRAAGATGGGAGAAACTCTGACTGTGCATTTCACGGGTTCATTCTGTTCATCCGAAGCGCCCGCGCCTGAATTTATTGGTGACAAGTGCAACTTGTGCCCTTCACCCTCACTCGAGGAAGCCACAAAGGATAAAAKAGTCTCACTATCTTCAGAAGAATCASCTTGAGGTTCCAACAAGGAAGAAAATGGCTTCCCAATCAAAGTCGACTTTTTGCCTGATAAACGGTGGAAAGCTGCATTTGCGTGAATGACCGGAAAGGGAGCAGATGAACTTGTTACGACTCTGTTAAAGAATGGGAGTTGCAWGTAATGATAAGGTTTATACAATTACAATGGATAGAAAGGYCATTGTTGGTGAGTGTCGTTGTTTTMGAAATAAAATGCAATAGACAACAAGAAGGGTAGCCAAGGTATTAACAATTAGGCGCATAAATAGTCACGTATTTCATACCTGGCTGTTTTACTGAGTTGCAAAATTTCTGCCATTGTTATTGCATTGGATATAGAAGAAATATTTTTGGAGGGGTCGACTGTTTTCAACTTTCTCTTTTCTTTCTTCTTAACTTGCCTGCTGCTATGGTCAAGAGAATCTTCTAATAGAGGTGGCAGAGAACCATTCGTGTTATCACTTCCAGAATCACTCAAGGTATCGCTGACAGACATTGTACTTGGTTCTGACCATGCATTTTGTGCTACTGGTATTGCTCCTTCTAATGATTTGATGTCACTCATTCGGGGTGATTTAGATGGGTAAAATTCACTAACTGCGTTAATGAGACCCGTGTAATCGCTAATGGTGCTCTTTTGCCCGATATCCGAAGGCAGAACAAGAGAACCCTTTACGTCACTAGAATGCATTAGCTTCACATGATCTTTTAGATTGATATCCATMTCCTTCAAGATTGTTGAACGCTCCAGATTCTTGTTAACCGTTTTGAATTCCTTGCCAGCCCGCGCCAGATCAGCCTTCACGGTAAYAGCTGCAAACTGTATTTCATYCTTTTTTCGACGTTTCGGGCATTTCAATGCTTCTCCTCGAAACGTTGACTTTGATTTCGAATGAAGGTTGATGGAAACAACAGGAGGGTACGAAGGACCTTCGCGATCAGCTGAGTATCCACTAACGCTACTTTCGTTCTTGTCATTAGAACTTCTARTAGTCTTCATTGATCCTGATGCGGTCCGTTTGTTTTGTGGGCTTGTGTTACCAGAACTGCTTCCCCGGCTTCCAGCGAGCAATCGCGAGCTTAGAGAGGATACCATGATAAGAATTGAATTGAACTTCAAAGCTTTACCTTTATTAGTTGTTTCAACAAGCTTTTCTTTTTCGTTTTACTGTTTTTGTGAGCCTCTGGAAAGGAGTTTGCAAAATTAGGACATCTTCTTGAGTCTTTTTCCCACATGATTTGCAMTATAGACGTTCGTAGTAGAAAAGAACTCTTTCTCTTCTTAAGGGAATTATCGACGTGGCCATGGAGAGAAATGACGAACGACTTCATTTATATTATTTACTTAAYAATAGAAACGCTTCGGTGGAAAGTTGCAGATGACGGAGGAAATGCTTCTSTAGAAACCTAGAGATGACGCACTGGGGTCATTACTTTGTTGAACTTACTTTTCTACGAAATAATTTTTGTTGTAACTTAAAAATAGAAAACCAGAAAAAACAWTAAGTAGAAATAATGATGCACCTGAAATGATTTTCGAAGGAAAAAAAAACGTTTGCGATCATGTGTGACTGTAACACATGAATMAAATGACGACATATCTTTTCCTGCATGCGGCAGTGCGTATTCAAAACAGTACTGGATGATTCTGCCACAGGTTCCAACAACGTACTTGTTTTAACCAATGGAAACAGAGGAAGACCGTTCTGGAAAGCAGTTCAATATGGCTCACYCTTGACACAGCAGTGTTGGTCTGCAGTGCTTGATATTTTTGAGTATTTTTCTTTGTTCTTCTTGTTGGTGTTGTTGATGAGCAGGAACTCCTCCTGCAATTTCTGTCTTTTCTTACTTGTTGCTGTTCTTCACCATCTTTCTTGTCATCATCATGCTGATGCTAGTACCACCAGGGACATTTGGAAGCAACATGTTTTGACGTGCAATAAGCTACCAGATCCTCAGTTTGACTACAGTAGACTGTTGCTACTASAACAATGATTGCAGCAAAAGGTATAATGGAGACTACTACTACTASTAGGGGGTTTATGGGAATCAATTTTCATTTAGATAAATTTTTATAGCTTATTTCTAGTCAATTTATGGTAAAAACATAGTTGGTATATGGTAGATAGATAAATAGTCCATATGTGGTAGTCCCATCAGCAGCGGGTTGAATTACAATTGTCAATCCATGGCATGATCCCATTGATGTCTGGTTTTTGATGTAGTCAGGACAAAAATCACCAAGAAGAAGTTATTCTACAAATTACTACTACTAGTACTGTACTTGYTTGTTTGAAGAACCTACCTCCTCTGCTGCTGTAGTAAGGCCAGGAATCTTGGTGATCTACTTCCTCTCAATTCTGATATGAAAATGKACAAAAGCTCTTCAAAGAGGTGGTTTCTTGAGCTGCTGACAACAAGCTTACAAGCATTGCTACTACTAGTACTGAATCTYRTGAAGTTTTCCATCTTGGTACTTTATCACCACCTGCTGCAACTGCTCCCAAAATTTGGACTGTGGTCTGGCTCACTACTAGTATACTAGTTTTACTACTAGCAGGACTATGCCTATTCACAAACTGGACAGGACTATTCTCTCAAGCAAAGAGTTCCATGAGGAGAACCCATCATGATTGCATTTAGGTCTGTATTCCTCACCACGCTGTCTCCAAAAGCAATGCAATAGCAGGAGAGTCAGCAGATTAACCATTAAACTTTTGTTCATATAAGACAAGGAGCAATCTCACAAAAAGTGCACCAGCAGCAGACTAGTAGTGATCCTTTCATCATGCCACTACTACTACAATATAGTACTCGTGTTGGTGGAGCAAAAATGTATGRTCCAGTTGTACATAAGTAATTCTGCATATACAACACCATATAACTTTATATGATCAATAATGCAAACCCCCCACATGACTATATTTTGTGTTTAAATTCCCTTTCAATTCATGTGCNCTGCATATACAACACCATATAACTTTATATGATCAATAATGCAAACCCCCCACATGACTATATTTTGTGTTTAAATTCCCTTTCAATTCATGTGCRTATCATTGTTAAGAAGCGTCCATTGAGGACCAAGATACAGCTCACACTATCAGTTCAAGACTAAAACAGTTACTATATGGTTAAGTTATACTATGTGTTGATTTTGGGCCATCTTCTTACTGTGTAATGACTCATGGGATAAAAATTTGACTTGTACTAGTAGGGCTACAGCAACAGCACATGCAAGCAAAACTATTTGGTTGCATTGGTATTACTGGTATTACTGAGCATGTGCATTTTGGAYATATTTAGTTTTTTAGTCAAAGTAGTCATTACATGGAAAAATAGGTCCCAAAATCTACAACTGGATCGTAGATCTGTGCGCCGACTCTATGTGATAGTAGGGAGGAGATGACACTACTTCTACCTTTGTGTTGAGAAGGCCCTCAAGCTCAGCACTATTGCTTTTTGTTATGTACTACTACCACCACCAGCAGTAACTTTTATACCAGTATTACTAGTATAAAGAAATGCTTTAACAACCATAGAACAAGCTCACCAGATCCTACAGGGGAAAATACATTCTACTCAAACAATCAAAATAAATACTACTTTTAGTAACACACCAAATGTCAATTTGAAAATAGACATAGTACCAGTTCAGAATTCTAGCTACACAGGCCACCACCAACAGTGGTTCATTGAGCTAGTACTAGTAGTACTAGTACTAACTGCAACTGCTCCAGAGAGATATCCACTTGATAACCATTGCTGTGTAACAAGGAAGAGTGCCCTTGTTACACAGTTATAGCCCCAGGTGGAGCCAGGTATCCACCATTACTAACAGTCGTTGGTATAGCTGAAATTTGCTATTTTGTGAGACCAGCTGCTGGGTGTTGTTACAAGAACAACAGCAACAAAATACAAGGATATGACATAGAAARTATCAAAAGTAATTACCAGAATACTAAAGGGCCAGTCAATATTATTACTTAAGCRTTAGTTTCATTGGGAAGCCAAAGGATGCTTGAGAGGCTTAAGTCTGCCAAAGGTGCACTAATAGCTGGTGTCCAAATTTTGATTAATTTGGTTGTAATTATCAAAATATCTGGTACTTCCATGTCCTACTACTCTCTGCACAAAGACAGTTGCAAGCTTCACTACTAGACCACAATGGTGAATGGGTCATTTCTGAAAATATTTTGACCAGCTGGCTTGTTTTATGTATCTCAAATACATAAATCCTGGTTGTTTTGAGTCCACAGCAACTAGGATCCAYATATTGAGATACATTTCTTAYTATTGGAATCCTTGAATAAATAYTTTCAGTCTTGTTAGCTGGCGTGCCTTAAGAGAGTCACTGTGCACCAAACTGGAAAATTTGAAATTTACTAAAAGAACAAGTATTTCTCCTTCCTCTCTCAAGAACRAAACACATGCARCATGAGGAGGAAAACCAAGCAATGCAGGACCAGAGAAGAGCAGGATGAGTATTCCAACCATGATTGGATTGGCTGACGTGTGCAACCCTCTACTCAGTAGAACTACTACAAGTATCAGGATACTTCTGTTTTGGAGGATGCAGGAGCTTCTTGCTGAGGGAAGGCAGGAGAGCTGGCTCAAGCTTCTTGAGAGGGAGGAGGACAAAATCCTTTATGTGATATGTATTGATCAGAAAAAAGAAGGAGTTTATCTGAAGACCGCTCCTCATGTTCCTCTGTTTCTACCATGGTACCAGCACCAGCACCAGCACCAGCACCAGCACCAGCACCAGCACCAGCAGGGCCAACTGTACAAGAAAAAGGAGGGAGGACTTGTGGTGCCTCTACTAATTACTACAGCCTTAGGGAGATCATGTTCATGCTGAAGACCCTGAAGAAGATCCTTCCTATTGGATCAGACCAATGGGAGCAAGTTGTTCAMCRTCATGCAGATAACTGGCCTGATGGTCCAAGAAGAGAGACAGAAYCCAACAACAGGAGTACTCCTCCCTCCACATGAAACAAATTCCTACTRGGCCCTCCATGAGTTTGCAAGAAGGAAGACAGTCACCAACCAAGATCAAGATTTCCCATAGGTTTTCTCCATGTTTCAACAAAGAGAAATAAAAAAGAAACAAGGAGAGGCAATGCTATCTTTGTTTCTCTGGTTTGTCTAAACATAGAGAAACAAATAGAACATTACCTAGGCAATCCCATTCTCTTTGTTTCTCTTTGTATGAACAAAAAATTCCCCCATCATTTCATCATGYAAACACAAAGAGAATTGTGCCCTAAATATATTTTCTCTTGTTAAACAAAAAGAACCAAGAATACAAAMAATGCCCAGRCAGTATTCTCTATGTTTCTCCTTAGTCAAACAATGGGAAACAAAGAGAAAGAAGGAGAGACAATATTCTCTTTAGTTTCTCTTTGTTATCATATWTCCGTGGCAATTCAAAAATAGCCAATTAAATCATACATTTTTAATCCTTAATATTTGTACAGCAATATAATTGAATTCTCAATAAACCCTCTAACCCCCCCTACCACTGAATTCGTCATTTTACTGGGATTTGATTCATGTGCTTATTATTGTTAAGCGTCTGTCTGGGACCAAGTTATAGCTGTTCTAGTGAGTTGACCCTTAGTTAACATTCTGCATGTTTTTTTCTGCTGTGCGTTGATTTTGGCCTATCTTTTTACCATGTAATGACTTGTTGGATAAAAAATTGAGTTGTACTACTACTGGTACAGTAATAGCATGTGCTAGTGAAACTATTTGGTCGCACAACTGTTGGGATTCAAAAATTCAGCATGGGCCTGCTTGCTGTAAACTTGTTGTTAGTACATACTGTACTTTGGTATTTAGTTTATTTAGTCAAAGTAGKCATTACACAAAAAAGATAGCACAAAATCTACAACTCTATTGTACATTTCCAAGCCATGTTTATACGWTAAAAATGAGAAACAAKTAGAATATTGCCCTTTAAACAAAGAGAAAAGTTCTCTTTGTTTCTCCTTGTTTTGAAGGGTGTGCAGGGAACTATTTTATTTTGAAAAATTACTAACAGTGGGTCCTGGGGACCCAAACATAACTTCTGCACTCTGSAATCAAGCTTGGAAAGGAGAYCAAGTATTTGATTTGTGTCAAGGCCAGCTTTTGAGATGGAGTGGAGACATTTGACGTGCAAAAAGGATACAAGATTAGTGAGGAAATCACCATTTTAAATAATGATACTTCTCCTCTTCAACAGCCTTGTTCACAACTTGTTACTCAAGAAATGCCAATGGCATCATCTCAGCTCACTCAGCTTACTATTAAAAAAACACAGACTCAGGTAGTGCCAGCTCARCTTACCCCTCAGCTTGCTCAACTAATTGCACCATCTCAGGCAACTGGAGCAACAATTTCATTGATTGCATTGACTCAATCATCCTTTGTTCCTCAGCTTTCTTTCTAACTTACTCAACTGACTGCTCCAATTAATTCAAGCATTGACTCAAGCAACTCAATCCTCAAAGCACTCCTTGCCAATGCCCTCCAGCCAAGAGATTATACTCCGTAAGAGYGTCAACCTCCTCAAGGRGCAGCAGCACCCATTTTYATGGGAAGGTATGCAGCAGAACTGRCAAGGCAAGAGAATACTGTACTATAGTGGACAATAAGGAACAATAATCTTCCATTAAAGAACTAAATTCAAATAAACAACAATTGACTCAACCATAGCAGGAATTTGCAACAATCAACTTGACCATGGGAATTGGAATTCACCATTAGTGTCTGYCACTGGACTCCTCCCATACAAGAAGTATCCTAGTTGGTGTTGCTTGTACAATTCCCTCATCTCTTCAAAGGATGCAAACCCACCACTGGTATTCTTCCTTGTAAAGGTGTCGAGGGTCTGGTTAACCCCCGCAGAACTGCATTGATAATTATTGTATAGGCTCGGCTACTCAAAAAWGCATGATCTGATCATACATTTGTAATCTTATATTTGTACACTAATATCGATATATTCCACTACAAGGACCCCCAAACTCCCCACATGAATATTCGTGTTTAAGTTTGCTGCTTTTGATTCATGTGGTGCTTATCATTGTTAAGCGTCCGCTGGGGACCAAGATACAAGAAAGAGAAACAAACAGAAACAAAGAGATTTTTGGCTCTCCTTGTTTCTCTTTGATTTGTTGATTTTTTTTACAAAGAGAAGCAAACATAATATTGCCTGGGCAATACTCTCGTTGTTTCTCTTTGTTTCAACATGTACCGGTATGGAAAAAACTTTTTGGGAAACCCTGATCTTAGTTGGCGACTGTCTTCCTCAAAAACTAACGGAGGGCCCTGTAATGTTTCGACTTAATCGCTCTTGCAGCGCACCGCTCAAGACCTCATTCGAGGTACGAGTACCGTACGCTTATTGGCTATTGGTACATGTATGTTCACCATACTAAACACGGCAGACAACAAGCGAAGATAGGATTGCTAACGAACCTTTATGAGGAGACTTCAGAAGCAACCGAAGCTGCAATCTCTCTTTAAAGTAACTATTKCTCTCTGGTCAGTTCCGATTAATTCCACTCAGTCAGARTTTTCTTTGTGTCACGCTTTACCGTCGACAACACTGTTTTTCAACTCCCCTTTGCCGTTGACTTCCACTAGAGTCCACGCAAATCATCGATTCATGTCCTCTCCATCTGCGAGCAATACCGATCCATTGGATGATGTGAGGAAAAGCAAACAGGAGCTGAGGAGAAAACTTCGATCTGCAATGAAAACTCTCACCTCGGAAGACATAAACGAGCAATCGAAATTGGTCTGGACAAGCATATTCGATCTGCCAATATACCAATCGGCGAAATCGGTTGGGCTGTTTCTATCGATGCCACTGGGCGAAATCAACACGGATTTGATATTGCAGCATTGCGTTCAGCACGGAAAAGAAATTTACGTTCCAGAAGTTGGTAAAAACTTCGAACTCTGCGACATGGAACTTCGCAAAGTTGTGTTGGACGATGGTGCTTCTGGAGAWAGCATCGAAGGAATGTTCCACAAAACATGGCCAAAAAACAAGTGGAAAATACCAGAACCACCTAACGATATGCCAAYTATCACAGCAAAGCCTGGTGACATTGACCTCATGATAGTACCTGGGTTAGGCTTCGATAGATCTAGAAATCGGCTTGGGCAAGGAAAAGGATATTACGACCGGTTCATTGCCAAAATGACGMAAGATGGTCATGACCTTCCTCTAGTGGCTGTAGCACTGAGACCGCAGTTGGTGGTAGATTCTTCAATTCCCACGGCAACGTACGATCGGCAAATGGACATGGTGGTCTTGCCGGACGAAGTGATTGTACCCACAAACTAAAACACAAAATCTAAGGCGCAGAATATCGCTTGATATTCTACTGAAAATTATCATCGCTTTCACCGTACAGTTCTTTTCCAAAGACCAATGTTGCAACTTGCCATAAGTCAACTGAGAACGGAAGCACGATCGAAGTTCCTACTGCGGTTGATGTATCTTCGCTGCTCTGAAGTATGATGCCACTCTCAGTGACAGAGTTACTTGTCCCACTTTTCTTCAGTTGTATTATAGACGCTAAATTCATCAATGCTGATTTCGTATCGCACACTATACCTACTCCGCCCGTGGTCGAATGGATCTCGATCTGTTGGTCGTTGTCCTCGGATCCAACGGAAATATCGCTTTTCGGCAACAACAATCCATTCGTCTGCTGCGAATAATCCCACAAACCGGCTTGACAGGAAGACAAAGCAATATCTAAAAAATTTCCCACTGTGTCAATCCTCAAYGATTCAACTTGATCGTCCGTGTTTTCTTCTTCTTTCCCTAATATCATCCACTTGCCAGTAGATATAAGTTCGATCGCTTGGATTGGATCCTCCACGGGCATCGATGCATCACTCGGTGCCAAAGAAAGGCTACCAAATGGAGTAGATAAACCCTGACTCGAGGATAAAAATATGTCGTTGTTTTGGGAAGATTGATACAAGATCTGAGATGTAGTCAAGTACATGTCGTTAACATCTACGAGGTTTTGAAATRCATTTTCTGACAAAAGGATTCGGTCGACAAACGACGTAACTCCGATTTGTGTTTCCAATTGTTCAATGGCAGATTTTGGATGGATCGCAGTACGACGAAGATCAAGCCAMAGCTCGGTCTCTTGGTGTGGAATTAGCTCATCGGAAAGAATTTCCTGCAGATCTTCGGACGAAATCCCATTCCGTAATTTATGTGCAGGTCTGAGATTGTTATTTGTCTGATGAGAAATGRCATCTCGAACAAAACAGGTCGACAGAGATGGGATGCATAAGATCAATAACACAGAGAATAGCATGGTCTGATCTTGCGAGTTCCAACCGGAACATACCGTTGACACCAAATGCTGTAGGTGCAAAGTCAAGCTGGTAACTAAGTTTTACCGCTCGTACGCAATCTTTCTGCTGCTGCTGTGAGGATTGAACCACAATGATGGCACACAGTAAGAGTAGTGTAACGTAAATTACCGTGCATAGGAAAATCAACGGTGTAAGTACGTACTGCGCGCGTACGTACGAGTACGTTTTTCGTTCTCCTACCTCTCTTGCAAAAGATCGAAGATACCGTAGCGTATGGTAAGTACGGGTACGTACGGTATGTACTCGTACATTACAGGAATGGAAAAGGAAAGAAAAACAGACAGAAAAATAATGATGGATCCACCGCACTACGTACCGTATCGTACACTTAAGTACGAGTACCTGCAGCTCTGTCACTTTTTTTAGTCTGTTTGTTGTTTTCGAGATTCCTGTACAGTAAGAACTGAAAGCATTCTTTTCAAAATACTTACTGTACTAAGGCATAAAAAAATACTACGTAATCAATACGGTAATAAAATAGGGGTATGCATTGCAGTAATGATATTGCCCCTTGCAGGCACGTCACATTTTCAAACCAAACCAAAGTTATTTACAAGTCATGGTAGTATGAACTACTTTTCGTTCTATCCATAACACTTCATGATCCTTAAAATCTACTTGTTCCGACTGCCTTCTTAATGATCATCTCCACACCAGAGATCGCGTTACCAAAGACGCAATTGAACGCGTTCAAGATAATACCGCCAACCGTTGCTTCGACAAGGGCACAAGAAGGGAAATGATGCTCCMAAAAAAGAGCCCACGAAGGCTGACAGGTGGAGAACACGAAAACCCCGGTCCTAAATCATCAATTAAAAAATTAAGAAGACGCATGGGTTATGCACCTGCATTGAGCACATGCAAAAACGGATTCTATTGGCATGTCATATTGGCAGGCTCTGAATGTTGATTACAAATTATCTGTGTATCTTGAGAGCACATAATGCACCCACATGCTAGCTCTACGATACAAGACGCGATAGAAGAAATTTCGATCATTTTTTGAATAGGACACGAAGGATGCGTGTACACGTCACACTTATCGAACTGAAAGATATGTTCCTCGTAGTCAYAAATGTATCAAAGTGCATGAGACCTGAAAGTATTTTAATAAACAAGGGATGATTCAAATAATGAGGATTCTTTCCTACTAATCCAGAATGCAGAWAGCCGATTTCCTCTTYATGAAATTCGTTTCTTCAAAATCCCTGCATCGGRAACCTACATTTACGATACATCGCTAATCGGCACTTTAGATGCTTCAGTCACTATCTTCGTTGTCATCTATTGGTTCTCCTTTCTTCGAGTTGGAAAGCCCGAACAATTGTTCCTCATATTGTGCTTTGGTGATCTTTTTCTTTCGCAGTTTCTTGTATAGACGCTCTTCTTTTGCTAAATCATCCCATTCGTCWACAATTTGAGCATGTCGGCCTCTTTTCTTTTCTGGATTGCGACCCTTTTGAATTGCAAGCTGGCGACGTTCTTTTTGGCGTCTAATTTGTTCTGCTTTGCGCTGCTCAGCTTTGATTTGTTTAGCATTTTTGCCGCCAGCAGCCAATTCAGCAGCCAGACGTTTTTGTCTAGCAGCTTCTCTCGGTTTGTCTAGATACGGAATTTTATAAATGTCCACTTCAGGACCAGCGCCAGAAAAATGTTTCAATTTTCCATTATATTCCCTGAGTTCTGGCATCTTTGGAAGCCTTAGAAGACAAAAGGATGTAGCTAGATGACCAAGATCAAGTGACGCAAAACTATAKTAAGAGTTAGAAAATCAAACGATTGGTGTCAGAGCTCTGGGGTTACTGTCGCATCATTTSAAAACSTCGCATGGCAGTGAATTTAGCACGGGAAGGACTACTGATTTCCTTCCTATAAATTGTTATTGCATTTGGTAGAACGAGTTGACTGCACAATCGAGGAACCGGCCAACTCTCGAGCGCCCTACTCCGTTTTAGAGTCGGACAGCACAAAAAGAAGACCGCCTCTAGCAATCGAACAACTAGCTCTGCTTGTCACGATTGTTCGGTACGTCGACTATTCTGTTACTCACCGAAAAATAAATCCGCACAAATGCTCCTTGTAGCCGCGAATATATGAAGTGAAAGCCTTTGTTCCCTTTTCGAGATATTCACGATCTTTCAGCACTAGACCTTTGATTTTGGGAAGAAAATCTGATATGGAATTCGGCGAATCGCCCTCGCAAGAATTGTTTTCAATATTTCCACAACACACCTCTGTTTCGGGAAGTTCTTTAAGAGGCACCTGTCGATTCGACAAAAGATCTACGTAAGACTCTTCTTTTTCGGTTAAAAACAACAAGCTGGATCCCTGCCGACCAGCCCGAGCCGACCTTCCCACGCGATGGACGAATTGAGATGGGTCTTGCGGTGCGTCAACTTGCACCACCCAGTCGATATCGCTGACATCCAATCCCCTAGCCGCGACATCTGTCGCGAACAAAATGCCACCCGCTCTGCTTTCCCTGAAACGYTCCATAGCTTTTTCTCTGCGTTTTTGCACCAATTTCCCRTGCAAAAGCTCAATGGTCAAACCACCCTGGCCATCATCAGCATCGATGCTGCCCTTTCCGGYTCTTTTTTTGTTTCTAGACYTGTCTAGTAGRTGTTGCAAGGCATTGCCATAAAAGTCGACACAGGCACAAGTCAAGAAGAATACAATTATCTTTTCGTTTCGGTGACTCTGGAGAAATGCAACRAGTCGGCTAATTTTCTCCTCCAATTTGGTAACAAAATAATAGTTGGTCAAAGTGRTGGGCGTGTAGGTCGTCGACGACGACTTCGACCGTTTAGCATCTTTTACAACAGCTCCATTGTCTACATCGGACTTGGTTTTASCRATAGCGGGAGCTGGAGCAGCTGCYACCTGCACATTGATCAGGACCGGGTTGCGCATACCAGCCCTTTGCAGCAATGGTTTGATGGATTTGTTGCTTGTAAATGTAGTAGTTGCACTGAAAATTCCAGTTCTTCTCATTTTTGGTAATCGATTCAAGACAGTTGCAATGGTTGGGTCCATGACGGTTTTCCCAAACAGCAGCACATCTGCTTCGTCAAGAATCAACATGTCTAGTTCGGATACGTCCAAAACATTGTATCGAGTCAACACGTCTTCCATCCGTCCCGGCGTTCCAATAATTATGTCATTTCCTTCTCGATGAAACGTTTTCAGGTCCTCGGTCACCGGTCGATGGTTGACRCCGCCGGACTTCCCGGAACTTCCGCCTCCAACCAAACGCAGCGGAGGCGCCATGTTCAGAAATTTACAAAGCTCGGARCAAACCGTCCAAGTTTGCAGGGCTAATTCTCTGGTGGGYGACAGAATCAGGGCACCAATCTGGTGCTTCGCGAGAGGTGTGGCCCTTTTCCGTATTCTTTCGACCGTTGGTAAAAGGAACGCCAAAGTTTTCCCGGAACCGGTCACGGCTTGTACCGCTACATCTTTGTTTTGTAAAAATAACGGTATGGTAGCTTCTTGAACAGGCGTCATGGTGTGAAAGTTTTTGGAATCAAGGAAATCCAAAACACCTTGCGCAAGAGGTGGTTGTATGTTTCGGAAGGATCCTGCCCTGGTTTGTTGTTGCCTTTCTTTTTTCGCTTCCTTTTTTTGTTTCTTTTTGCGTTTTCGATTGGCATCGTCCGACGGCTGGGAAGACGGGGCGTCCGCCACAGTTTCCTTCTCTCSTGGGACCGAGGGTGGATTCTTCACTTTGCTTTTCGATTTGACCATTCTATAATAATAGAAGCTTCTGGGCAGTGCAAATGCGTTTAAGGGTGCATTCAAAATTTTGTTTGTMGATGATATGAAACGAAGATTCACGTTCTCGATTGTTCAGGTTCAGTGGTTCCGAATTTGACTGGAATCTACGAAGGACTAATACCACTAGCACTATTACGTATGGTATCGTATTTACAATTTACAATCGTCAAGTCTTAGAATTATTTCGTTTGTAGGAGGTAAGAACGAAGTTTGGTGCACTCTATTTCGGAAAAAAWCAATGGTTGGCTTTCAAATTCGTGACTGAATCCAATCGTAATCGTAAATTGTAAAACTGTTCGCGTTTTTCGCTACCGGCATGAGCTACCTACGTACGCTACGGTAAGTAAGGTATGTACTTTTCGGCAGTACAATACCCTGCGATGCTTTCTATTCGGTTTCACTCACGAAGCACCTAGCTAAGAAACTAAGGTATGGAATGAAGTTTGGTCACGAGTACGAGTACGAGGACGAGCACGTAAGTACCGTAGAGTGTACGTACCCAAACGAGTACTGCTAACATTTGTGAGGTATCATACGATGCGTACGTACGTACGTACTGTTAGACCGACTGGGGTCTGGGGTGGCAGGTAGGTGGTAGTGGTAGCACTCGCAACCTCGTACAGCTACGTACGGTACTTACGGTACATGGAACAAAAAATGATTTGAATTTTGATTTTATTGTTTCCCGTCTGTGACTGTGACGAGTGAAAACACCWACACCTGAGAACCCCCGGTGTTCGACGCAAAAGTACCAGTACGATTACCATTGTCCTCCGAAGTAAAGTACGAGTACCGTTCTGAAATACACTTAGGACTATTATTCTGAGCATTACTCAGTCATCGCCGGGAAGAAGAGACTGGACATAAGACCAAGAGTAAAGGAACGCTACCCAGTCAAGAATACAAATACAGTACCAAGTTTTGAAAGATACCGACCCGAGTTCTTCTGAATCGAATTGAATCCGACAGAGAAACCGTATCTGACTACGATCTCAGCACACAGAACCCCAACATCAAGATTTGCAGTCGGAMGGGATATTGGTTTTTCCGTTGCATCCAGCTCGATACTGAACAATTGTGGCGTTTGGCTCGTTGTGAATTCTTGCTCCTTTCAAAACATCAACGTGACGTCTCGGTCCTAGCTACTTTACTCCGAGATGAGCTACGGCAATGCTATGATATGATATTATCGAAAGCATTAAGATGAAAAGAACGAATAAGAGGTCAACCGATTTGCCACCATTGGAGCTCTCATCTAAGGATGACGATTCTTTCGAGCGAGACGAAGAAGCAACGCAACCATCCCAAAAAAATGCACCGAGACTGGTTCCGCCATCCGTGATCTATGCGACGATATATTTTGTTTGCATGATTGTTGTTGATTTTACTATTGAAGGGACCCAGAATGCCTTTCCAGAGCTACATGCCTTGCCGTATGCCATGACGTTGTTCCAGTTCGGTTGGTGCTTCTTCCTGCCGGTGGTCATTTCGAAGGGCGACAGCATCAAGAATCTGCCGAAGACCACAATCGAAATCTCTCCGTATATCATTCTCAGTCTCGTTGTGTTTAGTTCGAATGTATGCAAGTCGGCATCGGCACGGTACGTAAGCTTTCCAACCAAGGTGATTTTTCGATCCACGAAGCTGATACCCGTCATGATCGTGGCGTCGATCCTCAACATAAACGACAACCGAACCTACGGAAGATCGGACTTTTTGGCGGCTGCACTGCTTTGTGCGGGTGCAGCCGGGTACAGTTTTGGAGAACACTCCCTCAACGACGACAAGAAAGATTCGTATTTCGGGATCTTGTTGCTGACCGGGAGCGTCCTGTGCGATGCATTCACRCCCAATATCCAGCAGTGGCTAATGCATCCGGCAACCGAGTCGCCMGGGCAAAAGAGGAAAAATTCGCTGCAGTCGCTGCCATCGTCCTCGTCCCTTTCCTCGCTCACACCGTCCCTGCCGGACATTATCATCTCCGACAGCAGCACCGGAAGAGAAAACGAGACGGTCGTGGCCCCGCGGTTTTTCTCGCGGGGACCGGGGATTCTGAAGAAGCGGGGACTGGGCCTGAGCGTGTCTACGCTGATGACTAACGCCTACGCCGTCGGCTGCATCGGGTTGCTCTTGTTCATGGGGGTCACCCACCGCTTGGAAGACGCCATCGTGGAGGCAATGGTYCGCCCGCATCTGTTTGGCAACCTGACTCTGATCGGTGTTTCGCTGTCCGTTGCCGTGTTTGCCCGCACCCGCCTCATCAAGGAGTCGGGTGCGGTCACGGCGGTCACGGTCACCACCCTCCGAGAATTCGTTACCGTGCTGCTGTCGTACCTGATCTACCCCAAGATCTTCTCGAAGCTGCACGCGGTGAGCGCCCTGCTGGTCTTTGGCGGCATTCTACTGAGCAGCTATAGCGAGTCGCAGACCGGGCACGAGGCTAGTGGCAACGGCGGGAAGCGGAACGCCGTCGCGGGCAGTGCGATTCCTACTCGAATAAAATAATCAAAACCGGTTCGGTCGCAACACGGCCTAGTAATTACTACTATCTGTTACAGAGGGTTGGCTATGCGGCAGGATTGTGCATTCGTTTTTATCGCAAAAGATTATCACTACGCGGTTGCGGTGGCCCGTGGCCCACGGGACCGGGCGCGGGCTACTGGGCATCGCTGCCACCCCCCGAGCCACCGGTGTCTCCACCGCCGGTCGTTCCGCCACCGCCGATGGGCACCCCAAGCGCGAGGCCACCCCCCGATGGGACCCGGCGGGCAATCTCGCCGACCATGCGCTGCGGGGGCATGCCCGAGAGCCAGACCACCCCGGGTCCGGTCAGCGTCGTCATGAAGAGTCCCTCGCCCCCGGCAACAACGTTCTGGAATCCCTTGACCATCCGGACGTCGTAGTCCACTCCCTCGGAAAATCCCACCAGGCATCCGCTGGAGATGCGGAGCTCCTCTCCGTCTTCCAGGTCCCTGCGCACGAGCGTGCCCCCGGCCTTTAGGAAGACGTCTCCCCGGCCGGTCAGCGCCTGCAGGACGAACCCCTCGCCGCCGAAAAAGCCGCCCGCCATGGTCCTGGTGAACTCCATGCTGATATCGATMGTATGGGAACAGCACAGGAGGGCCCCCTGCTGGCACACCAGCTTCCCCCCGTACTCGTCGACGTTGAGCCGGAGAATCTTGGACGGAAAATCGGTCCCGAGTGCCACGGTGCCGGTGGTTCCGGGTGGTCCCCCGTAGGAATAGTCGCTGACGAAAAAGTTCTGCCCCGTGAGCATGCGCTTGAAGCCCTCCGAGAGGCCCCCGCCGGTCGTGGTATTGATGGCCACGTGTTCGGTCATGTACATCATGGCCCCGGACTCGGCCCGCAGCACCTGGTCGGGTCCGAGGCGGACGGTGACGATCTGGGACTCGCTCCCCTCGATCCTGCTCTGGGTGTCGAAATCGATGGGCAGCCCGACCACCCCGTCCTTGCTGGTGTTCGCGGGWAGACCGGCATCCGCAGCCGCTCCGTCCACCACCGCGGGGCTGTCGGAGGAGGAGCCGGAACGGCACCGAGCGGAAGGACGGAACCACGGCGCGGGCCGTGCCGCGGACGCAGCCGCTTTTCTGCCGGCTTCTACGGAGGGATAACCGTGCCCCGCGGCCCTGGAAAAGATCCTGGCAGCGGTGCGGATTGTTCGCATCGTTCGGTTCCTTGGGGGAGAGGGGGGGTCTTCGGACAGGCAATGCTGGGATCCCTGGGACCGAATGCTATTGTATCGCTCGAGGCTTTTCAGAATGTACGGTACGGTTCGTGATTCTTGTGTTGATCTCCCCTCGATTGTGGAGGAAGGCACCGGTAGGTAGAAACAAATTCCGTACGATTTTGAGTACGAGTACGAGTACGAGTACCAGTACATAGTACCGTACCAGGTAACGACGGGACCGACGGTCAGTTATTTCCACAGAAATCTTTCGAGATCGTGTTTTGTTTTGCCGCCCCTGTAGGATTAAGGTTGGAGTTGTTCTRAAACGCATTCCGTTTTCTTGGATCCGCTGTTGATGTTTCTCTCATTTCTTTGACATCGTCTCAGCCACGAACAAGGTGCATGCCTTCAAGTGGGGATGTACGACTCGTACTCGTGCCCTTCTKACGGTACCAGTTACGATGCCGTATGGTACCGTGCGTAGGTTGGATACAGTACGYTATTCGTTATTCGTTATTCGTATTCTTGCGAATTGTTTCATGGGMGAAAGAAATCTTTTTCCCATCCCATCAAATCTACTTTTCGTGTTTGTTCGTCTAGCATTGGGTCAACTGCAAAAACGTAGCAAGGAAGTACGGTATTTCTGCAAGGCGGAATGCTCCAGGGAGACTATCGCATCTCGCTGCAAAAGTGCGTACTGTACCTGAACGATCCGAACACTCCATTTCCGGCGGGTCGGTGGTAGTTCTCTAGTACCGATGCAGCCGAACTTGGCTCTGGCATAACAAACGAAAGCTCACAAAAACAATACTACAACCACGGARCGAGCCTCTCGAACCAGGCGGCACTCACAGAAAGAATGGCTTCCGGCAACCGCTGTGGCGTTCTGGCCATTGCTGCGGTGGGCCTGCGGTTCTGGTTTGTGCTCGGGTCGCTCCCGACGACCTCCGCGTTTTTCCCCCCCGGGAACGAAGGCATGCCGCCGCCACCACYACCGCCGGCACGCGGAAGGATCGAAACCGGGGAACCCCGTTCCGGTGCAGGGGGAACGAGCGCCGGCGACGGCTCCCTGCCRGAGGAAGCGACCCACCGCGGTGGACTGCAAGACACCGAAGGCCTCGTGTTCGAGGGAACCTTCCGCTGCAAGAGCGACCTCGTTCCCATGCCCGCCYCACTGGCACCGCCGGGAGCCGCGGGGGACCTCTTCGAGTTCTTCTCGGACCCCGGGAACCGCGACCTGGTCCTCAAGGGCGGGGGAAACCGGTGCGAGCGCGTGCCGCTCACGCCCGAGCTGCGGGAGGAATGGATCTCCCAGTCCAGGATCGTCCGCAGCACGCCGCCGGTCGGAAACGCCCGCGCGGGGGCAGGCGGCGGGCACCACAGAAACGAAGAGGTTCTGGCGGTCTACAGCGAGGTTCCGATCGCACCGGGCCTGTCCCTCCGGGCGGTGTCCTACACCGGCTGCAAGACCATGAGGGACGCAACGACCGCGCTGCCCTACTACGAGTTTACGCTCCTGAAGGAAACCTACCGGCCCGTCGGGAAAAAAGCAATGACGTGGATCTTCGACCGTGTGATGGGGAGCCACGGGGACCGGATCCGGCGCGGCGGCGGCGCGGGGGTGCCGGGAGAAACGGGAACGGACGTTCGTCGTGCGCAACCGGAACCGGGCGGCGGTTCCGAGCGCGGCGCGAGCGGCGATGACGGTGGCCCAAAGGCCTACGCACTGAGCCGCGTCACGCTCGAACCCCTCCCSGGGGACGGCGGCTGCAAGATCTGCTATTACGGCCACGTTCGGCTGTCGCTGTCGAAGCGATTCCTCCACATGCTCCCGCTTCCGATCGGGGTCGTCCGATCCAGGGTCAACAGGTCCATAAAACGACAGCTCGAACGCGAATGCACGCGATCCATCGAAAAATTCCAGCGGGCGCTGTGCGAATGGAACGAGACCAACAACGCGCACCAGCAGAGATAGCACAARACGAAAAACGCGATGTGGGGGATGCTGTTCTTTTGGGTTTCGACAGCGACCGGATGGATCGCASCGATTCAAAGCTGAAAGCTAGTATACAAGTACTATTCTTAGTAGGTAAATTAGTGACTGGATTTGGCGACTCACTCCATTATTCTTCCCCTMTGTGTTCTTCGGCACTGGATGTCCACGACCGAAAATTTTCTTCCCATCTCATAACATTTTGTTCCGTGTCCTTTTCGATTTGCCGCGTGATGAGATTGCTTATTTTGCGTTCTACATCGGCCTTTTGCGACTCGGCATCGGACGAGAAGACCAAGTTTCCCACCAGGGAGGGTATCCGAAACTTCATTTCCATCGTTCCGGCACACCGAATCACCCAGCTATCGGAATCGTCGTCGTTTTTGTAAACCCCGAGCCGCGTGAAGAGCKTCGTGTTCCTTGTGCCGCTGCTCCCTCGTTTTCCTTCGTCTCGGGATGCATTGGTTTTCCTGGCCCTRGTCAGCTTGTTGAATATCCACACAATGGGCTTTGCACCACTGGACACCTTGTTTTCGTCCTTGATCAACACGAATTCCAGTTCGGGAAATCGCTGGTGCGGTTGTCCCCCCTCACGCCGACCCCGGTGCACGAGATTCGTGCCCACCACCGCGGACCATTCCACGGAGAGCCCCGGGATCGAGATGCCGGCCGTTCGGACCGTCATCACCACACCGTGGTCGGCGCTCGGCGGGGACGCCCCGGCGTGGTCACACGCCGCTTCCCATTCCCGAAAGAGATCGTGGGTCGTCGGGACGATCTCGGAGTGAACCGATTTTCCCGCGCTCAGCAGGTGATCCGGGTCCAGRAAAAACTCGTCGAGCGCCTCGGGTCGAAAGGATTTCGCCAGCGGGTTCGACTGTCGCTGGAAGGACGATCGAAAGGTCAGGGTATTCTTCGTGTCGCTCTTGTCATTGCTGTCCGTTGCGGTCTTTTCCCTCAGAGAGTAAGMATTGTGTTGTTGCGTACTCGAAGCCGAGTCTATATCCGTGAAATCGGCAAGAACATACAAAACCCCATTGTTTGCGGCTCGYTTTTTCGTTGTTTTGGAAACTGGTATCTTTGKACCCGGATGAGACAAGTTGTCTCGGAACAAAAATGACGACGAGAAACCCAGCATCCCRGTGACCAGCAGACGGCGGAATGTTCCGTCGACCATTGCAATAGCGTTCTAGAATCTTTTGGCGTGATGGAATTGTTTGGTATACCTGAATTCTGTGCCCAATYCCCGTCTACCCAAGTGGCATGGTGGTTGATTGATTCTGTATTTTCTATTTTTCTTCAGTCGGTACATGTTGTTTCTCGTTTTCTTCATCCGGCCAGAACTTTTGTTCTTCATTCCGAGAGGAACAAGATGGTGTTGACATCCTTCTGCAGTCGTTGCGTTGAAGCAGTCAGCCAATGAATCTTTTTCATTGCTGYAGGTGTCAGATAGAAAAAGCCACCGGTGCAAGGACAGACCGAAAAATACGTCCGAGGGCTGGGACGTTACAAAACAGCGCATTGGGTCATTCCCATAAACATATCCAGGTATGTAATCAGGAATCACTTCCAGTAGT